ACTCCACTCCACTCCACTCCACTCCACTCCACTCCACTCCTCCTTCTTGGTCTCCCCTCCTCCTCCTCCTCCTCCTCCGCCTCCTCATCATCCGCAACCACTTTAGCTCAAACCGTTCAGCGCGGGATATACGGATATCCGCGCTACGCGCGGCACTCGCAGCGAGGCAGAGTTCGAGTCAAACAGAGTTCGGGCGACGACGCCGAGCAGGCTCTCAAGGGGGCGATGGGGGGTGCGCCACTCGGTGGGCAAGAATTTTCAGCTGGCCGCGGCGGTCCTCGGCGTTCCGTCAGATCTTGGACCCGACGGGGCCCTATTCACGCCCTAACTTTTCCCTGGCTGCCTGCGTCGTATCCCCCGATGTCCTCCTCCTCGTCCTCTTCCTCCTCCTCCTCCTCCTCCTCCTCCTTCTCCTCCTCACCGTCATCATCGTCCCCTGTCTCCGCTTCCAATTCCTTCTCCTTCTCCTCCCCGTGCTCTCCCTGTCGCCCCGTGGATATCAGCGAATTCCAGCGAATTCCGCGTGCCCCCCCCTGTTCGCCGCCCACCTCATCATAAGTTTCTCTTTCCCGTTTCTTTCGCCCCTCCTCCTCTTACCCGCTAAGCGGCCTCGCCCCCGCGAGGAAGGGCAGGCGCAAGTGTAGCCGCGCAGCCAGCACCATATCCAGAGGCAGCGGAGGAGGAGGCATCGAACGCCGACAAGTGAGTGGCCTTCAGCGGCCAATCGGCCAACACTTCCCATCCAGAATCGGAGGTCGCGCGTCGCGACCGCTCCTGGCCATGGTTCTTCTCGGTCCTAGAGCGGCCCGCGTCGAGCCTCTTGGGGTAGGCCAGTTGGCATCGCGCTGCTCCAGGCCCCAGATGGCCAAGGCCAGGAGCGGGGCCAGCGCGCGACAACTGATTCTGGATGGGGGACGTTTGGGGTGGCCCTCGGACGCCTGACAGGCTCGCGGGGGCTCGCAGAATCCACGCAACTCCACCCCACTCCACTCCCACCTCCCGCATCCCACCTCCCGCCCCCACCCCCACCTCCACTCCACTCCACTCGATCCCACTTCCATTGCAACCTCCACTCCACCCTCCACTCTACTCCACTCCACTCCACTCCACTCCACTCCACTCCACTCCACTCCACTCCACTCCTCCCTGCGCCAGTGGCCATTCACAACTCAAGATGGCGCGCAAGCGACCCCCTCGACTGTTGCCCCCTAATTCCAGGAATGCCGATGGATCCGAGGCCCCTCGGTTTTCGCCGCCGCCGAATCCCACGGAGCGCAATGTGACTATCACGATGGAAGGCCTCGATCCTTCTTCCTCCTCCTCCTCCTCCTTCACCTCCTATGGTCGTCCTGCTCCTCCCCTTCCACCTTCTCTTCCTATGCCGCCTCCTCCTCCCCCTCCTCATCATCATCCTCGTCATCCTCATCCTCCTCGTCCTCCTCCTCCCCCTCATCCTCCGCCCCCTCCTCCTCCTCGCCCTCTTCCATCCCCCCTCCACTTCCTCCTCCACCGCTTCTTCCGCGCCCCCCTCCTCCACCTCGTCGTCGTCTCCCTCTTCTGCTGCTGCTGCTCCTCCTCCTCAGGCAGCGCGCCGACTGCCATCAATGGCGATGCAGTCGCGCCCGTGCCCGTGGCGGAGGAGGCTGCGTCCCCAGGGGTGCGGGTGGCGACGACGGGCAACCTGGTCTGGGTGATTCCAGTAGAGTTGAAGGACACTGCCCCCCCCCCCACCCCCCGCCCCCTCCACCTCGACCAGCCCCCGTCGATTGTACAGATGCAGGAAAATCGTGCCCGAGAGGCCTTCTTCGGGCCTTCGGCCATCCTGGGAGCTCGGCGCCTTCGGTGGCACGGGGGCAATCCGAGACAGGGGGGGGGGGGGGGGCATCGGCCGTCAGGAAAGGGCGGAAGAAAACCCACTTCACAACCAAGTTCGTCAGATCTGAAACTGGTGCCGCCAGGGCGATGGCTGAGCTGGATTCCGCGTCTAACTCGAGGGCTGGCCCTTACTAAGATTGAGGGCCGATGTCATTAGGATTCGGGAGAGGGAGGGTGGGGGGGATGAACATCGGTTTAAACGTAGAGAAGGCGATGGATCTGACATTCTCCCATTTGCGAAGCCATTGCGGCGGCGCGCGCGCAAAGTATCGCACGGCATCTCCCGCCGAGCTTCTTTTTTGTGACGTGTTCACTACGCGTTATCCTTCCTGACCCCCCTCCTCCTCTCCCTCGGCCCCCTCACCCTTCGCTTCCTTCTCTACCTCGTCGCCGCTTTGCGCCGTTAGCGGCGGGCGCGCTCGACCATGGGCCGAAGCTATATTGCAAGCCTTGCGGATCGTTCACGCCGTGCGTCGTCATCCATCTCCTCCTCCTAATCCTCCTGGTGCCCTCCCCGTCCGTCTCCCCCCCCCTCATCCTTTGCTCTCTTGCCTTGCCCCTCCTTCACCTACCCCTGTTTCTACTGCTGTTGCTGCGCTCCCTGTCCTCGCCCTCCTCGGAGTTACGTGTTGCACTGGATGCTGCAGCCCCTGAGCCGCTCCAGCCCGCGTCTGCGAAGCGTTCGGGCTGAAGAGGGCCCCAAGCGAAACGTCTGTGAATTTTGCTATATTCCGGGTTGCTAATTGGTTTTCTCGATGTCGTTCTTGCGCGCGGTTTCTTTGGCGTTGCTGGACGCTCTTCGCGATGCCGCAGCGCATGGTCGGGCCCCGACTCGCCTGGGCCCCGCCGCGGAGTCCGTGGGCCCTGGCCCCAGAATCAAAGGAGATCTGCGCCCCTGAGTCGTGGGCTCTGGACGCGGGGTCCGCGGGGCCCCAAGTACACAGGCCACCCGCGCGCGCTGGGCTTGGCCCCCGAGATGCCACCGGACGAGGCCACCGAAAGCTGCCCCGAAAGATGGCAGTTTCACATCGGCCGAATCATTAGCGAAAGTTGGGTGAATTATCTCCGGTCTTGTTTTTAACAGTGCGGAGCACCATCCGAGGCGTCGACGGGCAAGATTCGGAGCCCTTGCGCGGCGCGATTCGGAGCCCCATTCGGGACGTCGATGGGCAAGATTCGGAGCAGGAGCGCGGCCGCCGCAGGCAATCTTCGGAGGTGGGATTCGGCTACATGAGGTGCGATCAGCGCCGTCCTCAGCAGCATCTCAGAAGCATCGGAGGAGCCCCTTGGGAGCTTCTCCGGAGCCTCTCAGGATCATCTCAGACTCTTCGCGCTCGCGCCCGCGCAAAGGCGGGCTCAATGCCCCCCCGGCGCTGCGTCGTGAAATGGGGCGCGCGATTTGCATCTTTCAGATTTGAAGAGGAAGCCGCATTCACATGCCATCTTGGGGGAGCAGTTCAGCCCGAGAAGCGTTGTCTCACCGATCATCGACTGTGTATGCGGGAGAATCGAAGGGGGCCGTCAAAACAAACATGGGCTCTCATCATAGCGCGGCGATCGGGATGTAATGTGGCCTTATCCATGGCCAGAATGGGCATCGCAATTATGGCGCGGGCTTTTGCATTGATGTCACCATGCGCGCAATCTACGAATGCAATGTTCGAGCGTATGTGTGGCGCAATCTACGCGGTGCAACCGATGAGTGCATTGTAGACGAGTGGCCCGCCATAGAATGGCAAGCCGTTGAAATGCACGTCGTGCTTTTGCGGCGCAATCGGGGGTCGGGGGGCCGCGGTGCGACGGCGACGGGCGGCGACGGCGACCGCCGGGGCACTGGCCCGAACGCGGGGTTCAGACAAGAAGGGCGGACACAAAACAACGATGGCAACCGCAGCGCGGGGGGGGGAGGGGGGCAACAACACCCAAAATGCAGGCAGATGGTGGCCAGGCGGCGGTTGAACCGCCAACGGAACTGAGTTGCCGAAGCCAGGGGTGGCGTCTTCTAAGTGCAAGCGCTGTTCGGATAACGATGGAAATACATCGAGCGTCGGTGATGCAAGGAGCGTGAGAGAGAGAGGGAAAGAGAGGGAATAAACCATAACCTAAGCGGGGCACAGAGAGAGAGATAGAGAGAGAGAGAGAGAGAGAGAGAGAGAGAGAGAGAGAGAGCAAGGCATAATGGAGCGAAGAGAAAGAAAGAGAGAGAGAGGGATAGAGAGAGATAATGATGACATAGAGATCCACATATAAGTAGAGAGAGGGATATCTCAATAATGAAAAGGATTGGCACGACAAGAACGCACAATAACAAAGACAGGGCGTGCTTCAAATTCACGTCGCCTGCTTTTGTTGGATGCGCTTGCACGATGCAGCTGACGCTGAACCTGTTTCCGTTAAACTTATGCGGGGCACCGCGCCATCATGTGACATCGTAACAAAACCTATTCCCTACCTCCTCCGTCTCCTCTCCTCCTTGCTGCTTTAAAACCATATACGACGTTTAATTTTCCGTGGCCGCGTGCACAGAGAGTTATGCTCCGTGGATGATTACGTGCCCCCATCCACTCCGCCGTGCTTGCGCAGCGACGGTTCCGACGCAGCCTATGGATGCAACCATCGCGGCAATTCAAACCACAACGCAACCAATTAGTGGCGACAGACACGCTGACGCTGGCGCGGACGCACGAAAGCACTACGACGCACATCAAGAGTTGCGCTGAACATGCGCATCGCGAATCATTTCGTTTTACTACTACATATGTTTGAATCAAACAAGCGTTGGCGTTTAAATTAATGAACTTAGCCAAAAATAAGCGCTCCCTTTAAGTTAAGCGCGATTGCACCTCTGGGTCCTCGAGGAGCACGACGGTGCGCTGGAGGGCGCGCGGCGCATGTTGCTCTCCCAGGCGGGCGACGTTCGCCGCGTGCGGATCGACGCCCGCGTCGCCCAGTCCGAGGGGGACGCAACGGCGCGATTCTCCGCTGCCCGGTCCGGCCACGTCGTGCCGGCGACGACGCTCGCGGCCGAGGCCGAGGCCAGCCTCGTCCAGCCGGCGGGGGCCGAGGACCCAGAGACGCGCGACGGCTCCCGACTCCAGGGCGCCCTGTCCCTCGCGCTCGGCGAGGCGCGCCTCGAGGCGCTCGACAAGGCTCTCCGCGCCGCAGGCGATTGGCCAGGGCGCCGCCGCGTCGCTGAGCTGCGGCACCCATCCACAGATCACTTTGATTCGCTGCGTCCACGCCGCGCGCGGACCAGTCCTCAGCGCCGCCGAGTACGTCGACTCTCTGGCCCTTCGCCTCGGGACGCCCCTGGTCCCCGAGAACGCGGAGTGCTCCTTGCGCGGCGAGGTCATGGGCCGGCGCGGCGTGCACCCGCAGACTTGCGCCCAGGGCGCAGCCACGCGAGGCCACTACCGCGCGCGCCACCGCGTGCGCTTGCTAGCTGCTCTGGGCGACCCGGAGGCAACCCCAGAGCTTCTCGGCCCCATACCTTCTCGTCCTTTGCTGCGCCCAGCTGGCATTTTCACGTCGGCTGCCCATGGCAGCCTCGCGGCACTGGGCGTCGGGGTGCGCTCGCTGGAAGCCGCGGGCGCTGGGCTGGACTGCCGCGCTGCAATGGTCCACCGCAAGCAGCATGCGTGCGCGCCGTTCTTCGGCGAGCTGCGGCAGCGCTGCGCGAGGCATCAGCCGATGGTCTGGAGCAGCTACGGGAGGGCCCACGTGGAGGCCGAGGACGCGCTGCAGGGACTGGCCCGCGCGGCGGCGCGGCGGCGCGGCATCCCGGATTGGAGGCCGTTGCTGCAGCGCTCGCGCGCTGCCATCTCTTTGAGCTCCAGCGGCGACTGGGGGGGCAGCTCCGCCGCTGCCTCTGAAGGCGCCGGAAGGCGCAGGGGCCTCTGACGCTTCGCCCGCGCCGCGGACGCGCGTGGCCGAGGACGAGGAGGAGGCCGCGCTCGCGGGCGCGCTTGGCGACGCGGCGGCGGCGCCCCCGGCGGACGGGGCCCTGGCCGCCGAGGCCGCCGCGGCGGGGCCGGACGGGCTGGTCGGGCTCGCCGGCGCGGCGGGCGAGGCCGGCGGAGCGGCTAGCGCGGCGACCGGGGCGGGCGACGCCGACCTGCTGACCGCGCTCGCGGAGCTGGGCGGAGCGGCCGACGGCGCTGGGGGCGTCGCAGCGCTGCCCGCCGCGGCCCGCCCTGCCGACGGCGCAGCACTGGGTGGCGCGGCCGACCCGGGCGGCGCAGGCGGGGCGGCCGTGGCCCCTGGGGCCGCGGCCGCGGAGGCGGTGCTCGTGGCGGAGCCGGCCGCTGGTGCTGGCGCAGCCAGCCCTGACGACGCCCGCCCCGAGGTGGCGGTCGCGGCTGGGGCCGGCGCTGGAGCGCCCGCTGGGGACCACGGGGCGCGCGTGCGAGCCCTCCGCCTCGTTTGCGGGCGCGGACCGTGGCTGCCCCCTCCTCTGCCTCACCCCCCTCCCCCAAAGAAAAATTAGCCCGGCAAAGAAACCGAACAGCGATGTGTAGGAGCATATCTGGAAGCATTCTCCTTAAGATCCAGATGAGAATCCAGTTGTAGAACTCTGCTGTTCTCGCAGTCGCAGTCGCATTCGCGATGACAGTCGCAGCGGCAACGGCAGTCGCAGTCACAGCCTCAGCCTCAGCCTGTCTCAGCCTCAATCTCAGCCTGCCTCAGCCTCAGCCTGCCTCAGCCTCGGCCTCAGCCTGCTTCAGCCTCACCCTGCATCAGCTTCGGCCTCAGCCTCAGCCTGCCTCAGCATCAGCCTGCCTCAGCCTCTGCCTCAGCCACAGCCTCAGCCTCAGCCTCAGCCTGCTTCAGCCTCAGCCTCAGTCTGCCGTCGGCCTCGGCCTCAGCCTCAGCCTGCCTCAGCCTCAGCCTGCATCAGCCTCAGCCTCCTCTGTCATCTTACGGTTTCAATTTAATTGAGACGGCTGTATGACTTGATTTTTGGGATTCGTCTTAATTTCTTAATTCGGAAGTTTCGGTTGTGATTTGCCAATGAGAAGTAGGTAAACCTATACTGGTTGCGCTATAGTTACGTTATATTGTACGTTATAGTGTACAAGCGTGGATATCGTCCGACGTTCTTGGGAACAAAAAAACCTTCCTCGACCTCCTTCCCCTCCTTCTCTTCGGGCTTGCCTTCTCGTCGGGGGGCTCGAACCCGCGGCCGCCCCGCGGCCCGCGGGCAGCCCGCGGCCGCGCCGCGGCCCCCCTCTCGCAGCTGCGCGGCCGCGGCCGCGGCCGAGCTCGGGGGCGCCGCGCGGCGCAAGGCGCCTGGAGGGGAAACGGGGTGGGAACGGGGGTGCGCGGCACAGCCGCGCCTTCGAAAGCCATATGGCGCATCGAGGGCGGTCGTGCCAGCATTCATGGGCACGACGATCGACTGTGCGTCGATCGTCGCGCCCATCATATATATATATATGACACGACTTGCCCTCGAGGCGGCATGGCCATCGAAAGCAGAGCGGATAGACGCGGCGTTCGACCGCGCGCGGGCCCTGTCTGGACCCCCAGGACGATCCCCCGTCCCCCGCCTCACCTTCTTCCCCCTCGCCGCTTTCTGGGTGTCCTTTTTCCTCCTCCTCCTCCTCCTTCCCCCTCCCCACCCCCCCCAGCCCCCCCACCCCCCCCCCCCCCTCCTCCCCCTTCTCTTCCTCCTCCTCCCCCTCCTCCTCCTCCTCCCCCTCCTCTCGCTAGGGCATCCCTAAGCCCACGATGCTGAGCGACATTGTTGGAATCGGTGACCAGGGCCATATGTTGGATGTAGGTGGTGGCGTGGATGTCCCACATGGCTCGTGTGAAAGCCGAGAAAGCCCAGGCCCCGTCTCCTCTTCCTGCTCCTCTCTTTCCCCCTCCTCCTCCTCCTCCTCCTCCCCCTCCTTCCCCTCGTCCTGCTCCTCCTCTTCCTCCTCATCCAGGCGCCCCCCCATGACCGCCATCAAGAAGATGAGCCCGAAGCACGCGAAGACGGCGGATATTGATGCGCGCACGCTCGCGAGGTGCTCGACGCAGGGCGCCATTCTTGAGACGACCCCCCTGATGAAAGGCTCCTATCTGTGTCATTTGTCCTAGCACCTCCTCGTTCCTCCCTCCTCCAGGCCTCTTCCGCCCTTCATCCCCCCCTCCCTTCGCCCAGCGCCCTCTCCCCTCCCCGTTCCCTCGCTCTTCATCCATCCCTCCACCCCTTAAGGTCCCCCCCCCCCTTCATTCTCCCTCCCTCGCTCTTCCATGTTTGTGTGGATGGATCCATGTGCCTCAGCCGTCTCTCTCATGTGTCTGTCTGTTTGTCTGTCTCTCTCTCTCTCTCTCTCTCTCTCTCTCTCTCTCTCTCTCTCGACTCTCCCCCCCTTCAGATCGGCCCCTCCCTCTACCTGCTGCGAAGCTTGGCTTCTTATGTGTAATGTCACCTCTGACCGTTTTTTATTTTTATTTTTTTTTTTTGGGGGGGGGTTCTCTCTCTTTCCTCTCTCTCTCTCTCTCTCTCTCTCTCTCTCTCTCTCTCTCTCTATATATATATATATATATATGTCTTTCTTTGTGTCGTTGAATCTCACATTTCGTTGTTGCGCATCTGCGATGGCGGCGATTGTGACGACCGTTGGATCCGACGCCCGAGTGGAATAGAGTGGAGTCGTTCCCCATCCGCTCCTACTTCCACTCTACTCCTCTCTACTCGCGCGTGTCTCCTGGAGGTTACCCGATCCCAGACTACAGCGCATGTCCGTGCGTGAACAGCTCGGATCGCCCGAAGTTGGCGATGCTCGCGGAGTCAGGGAGGGGCATCGCGCCGCGCCAAAGTTGGAGGGCGAACGATCGATGAGGGAAGGGAAGGCGAAGGAAGCAAGGATGGAAGGAGGAAGGGGTCAAGAGGGGATCGAGGCAGGCGGGAGGAGGTAGGGTTGGGAGGGGGCGGCGCTGGGGAGGGCAAGCAGAGGCGCGTTGCTTGAGCAGGATACGGCAGGGGAGGATTTCATCCCGGCGTTGACCAACATCACGGTGGCAACGGAGGGTTTGCGGATCTCCCAGAAGACGGCGGAGGCGCCAGAGGTTCTTAGTGATGATAGTGATGGTAACGATGTGACGGTGATGGTAGTGATGATGACGGTGGCAGCGGTGAGTAATGATAGCGGCGTTGACGATGGTCACGGCGACGGCTTATGGTGGCGGCGATGACGGTGGCCCCCCCGTCCTCGTCCTCCTCCGCCTCTTCGTCCTCATTCTCCGCCTTCTCGTCCCCCTCCTCGTCCTCCTCGCCCCCCTCATCCTCATCATCATCCTCCTCATCCTCCAAAGCACCATCCTCATTCTCATCCTCCTCAATCCTACGCATCGAGCCTCCTCCTCGCTCCTCAATCATCATCCTTCCCCCTATTCGTCCGCCAGGCTGGGTGGAACGAGGCTTTCAAGGGCAAGTTCATCGAGTCCTACCGCGCGGACAAGGCCGGGAAGCCCACTCCAGCCATCATCAGTGGCAACAGGTTCCTTTGAGGACGGGGGAGGTCTGGATTGGGGAGGACGGCAATGGCAAGATGGCAACGATGGCAACGATGGCAACGACGATGATGGCAACGATGGCAGCGATGATGATGGCAACGATGGCAACGATGATGATGACAATGATGGCAATGCCAAGCTGATGCTGGCAATAGCGATTGTGATTGCGATACGGCGCTGATGATTACCGCGAGAGTTTCGGCGGCGACGACGACGACAGCGACAGCGACGTCGATGGTGATGGTGCTTTCCTGAGCTCTCGTGTTCGACGCCGTCGCGGGAGGAGGGAGGGAGGGGGGGGGGGGGAAGGGGGCGGGGGGGGGGGGGCTGGGAGGAGGGGGGGGAGGCGGCGGAGGGAGGAGGAGGAGGAGGAGGAATCGGAGTAGGAAGGAGGGGGAGGACGAGGAGCACGCGGAGGAGGAGGAGGAGGAGGAGGAGGAAGGGGAGACGGACGTGCTCGCGATGTGTGTATATGTATGTACATATGTGTGTGCGTGCATGTTTGCATGTGTATGTGTGTTGCATGTGTATAATGCGTATTTGTTTGTATGTGCATGTGCGTAAGTATGTTTGTATGCGTGTATGTGTACAGTGTATGATAGTATGTGCATGTATGTATGTGGCCATGTGTGAGAGTACGTACATGTGCCGTATACGTGTGTATCAAATACCCAATCTGGCCCCGCCGAATCCCCTCTGCTCATATCCCATCCCTTCCCCTGCCATCCCCTCCGCTGCAATTCCACTCGTGCCGTCCACTCCCATCTCTTCTGGGGCGCCCCCTGCCATGCGATCCAACGCAGCCCCCCCCCCCCCATTAGAGGTTCGTGCAGTGCCGCCAGCTTCGCATCATGCTGTCGCACTTCCAGCGGGACCAGGCGCGCCCCTCGAAAGTCGACTGCGTCGGGGACGAGGCCGAGGACTGAGTTTTTTCATTCCCAGGGAGGATCGGCAAGATGAGCAGCAGCAGCAGCAGCGCAGCAGCAGCAGCAGCAGAAAGCAGCAACGACCAGAGGACCAGATCAGCATGGGGATCCGAGGACGGATAGCAGGATCAGGAGAAGCAGCAGGAAGAGCAGCAAGAGCAACGCAGCAACATGACCAGAGCAGCAGGAGCAACGTAGCGAGAGCAGCAGCAGGGGCAACGTGGCAGGAGCAGGAGCATCAGCCTGAGGACGAGCAGGATGCTTTGATATCGATGTTCCTCTCACTCTGGGGCGACGGCGCGAGACGCGACGGCCCGCAGACCCTGCGGGGCGAGTTCGACACCGAAGACGTAGACGAGCAGGAGCTGCAGAACTACTTCAAGTTCATTTCCGAGGAATGCGATCTGCCTTTCTTTTTCAAAGGGGGCAATTTCTTCCCCCCCTCTCTGTTTCTGAAGTTCATGAAGGCTCCAGGACTTGAGGCGTCCGTCAGGATCTAGCGCCCAACCCTCTTCGGGATCTATTGCCCAACCCTCGTCGCCCCCCTCGCTGGGGGAATGGCCTGCAAGGATGAAGGGAGGGGGAGAGGGGGCGGGGCGCGAGAAGGAAGGAAGCGAGGCGAGGGAAGGGACTTGAGAGGGAGGGGGAGGGGGGGGGGAGGCGGAGGGGGAGGAGGAGGAGAAGGAGCAGCAGAAGGAGGAGGAGGAGGAGAAGGAGGAGGAGGATGATGAGGATGGAGACGAGGATGATGATGATGATGATGATGATCATCATGATGATGATGATGTTGATGATGATGGTGATGATGTTGCTGTTATTGATGTTGATGATGATGATGGTGATGATTACGATGATGATGATGATGATGACGATGATGATGGTGACGATGACGATGATGATGATGATGCTGATGATG